TATGATATAATAAAAACATCTAAATAAGAAGTGAACTTAATGAAAAATAATAAAATAGAGGCAATATATGCATCTCAAAGCATAATTCAAAGTACAAAACTACAAATTGAAGTTTATCAAAACTCCCAAAGTACAAATAAGAAAGAACATCTAAAATTCAATCATGTCTCATCACTAAATGAATCTTCAATGGAAGCATCTTCATCTCCAATTTTATCAATGAATATCAAATATTCATCATCTTCAATCGTACCCACATTTCTCTTCCTTATTAAATAAAAATGATTAGTGTGCTATTAATTGCATATATTTTAAATGTAATAGCACATAAAAAATTGTGAAATATATTTGTTTGTTATGCTATGCTGCAGTATTAGTGGATGTGTGTGATGTGGTACTAGTGGTGTGTGATGTGGTACTAGTGGATGTGTCTTCTTAATCTGCTTTTGCCCCTCAAGACATCCAGACTTAGATCCTCTAGCTGTAAGTCTGATAATGACAAATCTGTCTCATCATCTATGAACCACTCATTATCAGACGTCACATCATCACACACCAAAGGTCATCATCTTTCAACCCCTTGTTCCTCAACCTCTCATCTCTTAATCTCTTATTGTGCATAATATACACAAGGAAGTACATTTTGAGTATTCAAAGTCGATTTTTTCTCTTCCTTTGCACTTGATTATATGTGCTGCAGTTTTGCTCACACCTAGAGGAAGAACAAGTGATGCCCAAAACTTTAACTGCAAAACTCTGTAACTCAGGAGTGGAATCACCAAATTAGATCCACCATTCAATTATTTTCAAAAAGACAAATGATAATCAGAACATATTAAAGTGTTATACATGTACGGTTACTTTGCAAAAATAAGCTAACTTGGAAAGTGTTTGGCAAAAGTAGATATTGCTGCTTGCAGACCAAAAAATCCCTCCCTATTCTGAAATAGAACAAGTTGTAAATCTGTAAGCTCCCTGTCGGACTGGTCCGATAGCAGCCGCTCCATGCAATGGTACAAGCCTAGCTTCACCTTTAGATTTCAGGATTTCCTCTCTGAATACTGAAATTAAGGATTGAGATAATATGTCGCTGCATTTTGATGACGATTTAACTAGATCTCCCACCAAGGATTGATGATATCCCAAATCTCTTTATAACTGGCCTCCTCTCCTCCCAATTTATATGCAATCAACTCCTTTGCCTCATCCATTGCATTATATATAAAACTCATGGTTGGTTTCTTCTCGGCATCCACTAATCATAGCACTTGTACTAAGGGTCTTGTACTCAATATGACATAAGTCACACTTGCCCAAAATTTATCATTCAGAATCAGCCTTCATATTTCCTTCCACTCGGGTTTCTTGCCCCACGCACAATTAAGTCATTGTGTCGATGTAAATATGGCTTCAAGAGGTTGTCTAACATCCAACATGCTTTTCAGTGTCAAATAAGACGTGGCAAACCTGTAGGTTAAACTTGCATTAGAAATTGAAAATGCTTATTGAACTTATAAGTGCACTAATGTAATGACTTACCTAGTGCTAGTAGGGTGAATGATTTCCTTCTTCGAGAAGTTTTTCATTAAGGCTAAGACACATGAGTGATTGTAGATGAACTTTGTGATCTTCTTTGCCCTAGAAAGGGCGCTCTTGTATTGAGGTAGATCACCAAGTTCCTCCAATATGAGATCAATACAGTGCACGATGTAGGGGGTTGAATATAGGTGTTTTCTCTTCTCCATCAACATCTAACCAGTTGCTTTGTATGTGCTAGCATTGTCAGTCACCACCTGAACAACCAATTTCTCCCCGATCTCCTTGGCAACCCCATCTAATAAATTGAAAATGAAATCGGCATTTTTTACCTCATCTAAAGCTTCAACTGATAGTAAAAACATCGTGTCTAGGGATTCTTGATAAGGATATTAATTATGATCCTGCTTTTGATGTCAGACCATCCATCTGACATAATGGTAACACTTGTCTCACTCTAAGTCCTTTTAATGATCAATACTCCGCTCTGTTTTCTGCAGCTCCTTCAAAATTCATGTCTGAAACTCGTACATTGAAGGTGCTTTCAACCCTCACCCATACAACCCTACAGATCACAACATATTGAAGTACGTCGGCAATGTCTCTATATTAAATGGAATGGCATTCTCAAAAAAGAATCTGACAATATCCATGCACACCTGTCGTCGACCCTCTCTGGTACCAACCACAGGCATAATTTGTGTTTTCATCTATCCTCTCCTGGATTAATCATATATTGGTCCATTGGACCCCGGGCATCTCTACTGTGTATAGTGGAAGAAGAGTCCTTTCCACTCTCGCTCCCGTAGTAAGCACCATGTTCGACCTTGTCATCAAATTGCTCGTGTTGTTTTGGTCATGGTACTCTTCTTCATGTAAGCAGTAATTTCCTTCATCTTATCTGGCACATTCGTACAAGGTGCTACATTTTTATGTGAGCCGGATAAGCGTTCCTTCATGCGGTAACTCCTCCCTTCACCACTTTATCACAAAAATTACATTTCAAATACACGTATATCTTCTCACTGCCACCTATGTCAACTTGTACAGTGTACTTCCAAGAAGTGTCCCTCCATAATGACATATTTGATTTTTTCTTGCCCTTAACCATATTTCCTAATGCACAAATGCAAAATCAAACCAAAAATCTCAAAAAAATTTAAACCATAGATTTTCTGTAAATTGAAAAATCAAACCTTGAATTTTAAAAGAAAACCTAAAACCGGTAGTAGAGGTGTCATAGAGGGCGGCCGGACACATGCTGCTCACCATCATGAGGTGGCATCGGCAGGAGCGGCAACGGGAAGGTCGGCCGAGGGACGCTAGGGCAGGGTCATGCGGCGCTTGCGACTTGGTACGGTTCGGGTAGACTGAGAGACTGGAGGATAAATGGGGTATTTCATTAGGCACTTAAGTAAGTGGGACCCATTTGCTTGTGGCGTACGCCTAACCAGTTATTGTGCAATTGCGCCTCTGAGGCGCGCCTCAAGTTATATGAGACGTACGCCTCTCCCAGTCCCAAAATTGTTTAAGAAATAAGGTGCCTGGGGGTGAAATTGTGCAGAGGTGCGCCTCTAATTGCGCAATTTTAAACTATGGTTTGGTGTTATCCTCTACTGATTCACGTGATACTGATTAAGAGCTATAAGGAGATGATTACTATGTCAACGGGCAAAGAGTGATGACTCTGTTTACTGAGCCAACGGTTTACTGATGCTGATACAATACTAAAAAACACTGTGATAGCCAAGACTTCTTACTTGTTTAGTATGATTACTGAAATGCATGTTCTTGATACATTTCTCTTATTATTGTACGAATTTATTGTTAGTGCATAGATTTACTTTTATTATATTATTTTACTGCTCCTGCCATAGAATTGTTATTGTTACTGATTTAGATACTAATATTATTTAATATTACTATTTCTTGTACTAATAATAAGCATATGATATATTGAGCGCGTGATATAGAATACCTGAATAGTACAGGTACACTTTTATATGATATTACTGCATTGGCGTGATTTAAATAGTATTTACCGATGTTTTGATTTGATACTTATATGATTTCTATACTGATTGATATTTCGGATATGACGAATGCTTTATAGATTTGACACTCATTCTAATTTTCTATTTTACTGGCTTCTGAACTATAGTACTTTATTGTTTATAGATTATACTACTATTGCATGTGAATTTTATTGTTTCTGCATTAATTCAATGATGATATGAATGTAAATGCTATGATATGACTGTTGATATGCATATTTTTTATTTGTCGTACTTTGAATTCAGTTGTATGTTTTGGTGACCTATTAGGCTTTTTAAGTTCAGTATATCTGGTTAACTGATTTCAGGTTATAGCAGGGGAGTAGGAGTGTAAGGCTGGTCAAATTATTCAGGTTTTGTTTCTTTTTATTTTTCTTTGATACTCAGAACATAATAGTTATGATATGATTGTATAAATCCTGAGTATTGTTTATAATTTTTTAGAATGAATATAGATGTATATATTGATATTTTAAATTATAGAATTTATTTTATTATTTATTACTGATAGATGATATTATATAGCTCTAATTGTTGTTTATTGAATGATTAAAAGAATAATTCTTCTAAATTAGATTCGGGAACATCGCATGCCTCTTGTAACTAGTATTGGGATATCCACGAAAGGAGAATGGCTTTAGCTGAGAAGTACAAATAAGAAAGCCAAGTCCTAATGCGAGTGGCTCTTCAGGTATTTTTTATTAAGATGAGTCATCTCGACACAAGAATGGCTACAGGAAGCACATGTAGAAGGGTGAGTTAAAGCCTAAGAAAGCTATACAAAAGCTACAATGGAAGCGATGAGCATGCATGAGCAAGCTAACCAATTGCATGAGCAAGCAGCACAACAACATGAGCGTGAAGAATACAAGCAGACGCACGACGATTTGAGCCAAGTAAGATGCGCGTGTGAAATTACAAAGGGGAAACCTGAGTGCAAGACAACAAGGAAACCCATGAGTAGCCATGGCGAATAAGCAATAATATGGATGTAAGATTAGTATGCGATTAATTTTTTATTTAATAAAAAATTTCATGTCGAGATGAAAATATAAGTCTTTTAGAACCTATCATGATGAAAGAGAAGTTAACCGGCTCAATAGAAAAATTAAACTGTGTTTTTCCATTCTACTAAAAAGCATGGGATTCAATAAGAGTTTAGAATTCTCCCAGCAAGGCCTCATCATTGGCTTAAACCTTGAAGGATCTGACATAATTAATGGAATAATATAAATTTACTTTTAAGATTATAGTTTTCTTATGTAACAAAAAAAAATCAAGAAATATTAGCATATGCAACCGAAGTATTAAAAACAAAGATTTAATCATTAAATAAAACATGAAAGAGGCATGTATAAATGAATATATATATATATATATATAATAAGCAGAGACAAAGGAATTATATACCGTGTCCATCTCTAGATGACAAAAGTGTCCTATCATTTTTAGCAACACATTTTCCATTAGCATGTGCAAATCTTTGCGTGCGAGGTGATTGCGAACTCAGTTTGCTATTGTTAGAAGATGGTAAAGAATGTCTGCGGGTCACGCCATTTTTCTCAACTGAATCAGAACCAACTTTCAGAGAAGTCTGTGCACGAAGCTTTGCCTTTGCAGATTCAGTGGCTGCCATGTAGCTTGGAAGGGTAGGAGTGGCTTGAATACCATTTTCTTCATATTCTGATTTTGTAGCAAAAGATGCCCTTCTTTTACCGCTTTTCTGGTTTTCATTGTAGGTTTGGTCTTCCTTAGAGGCTAATCCGCCATTCATCAAAATAGGAATATTACCATCCCCGTTAATGCTCTGTAATGGATGCAATTTATCAATACAAGAATCATCACATGGCACAACAATTACACCAACTGGTATGGAGTTTGACTCAGTTTCCAGGTCCACCTGGGTCTCAGATGTCAAAATCAGATCATGTTTTCTCTCTTCCACAGATCCCTCAATACTCTGATATGGAACAAAAGATAGAGTATTTGAAACATTTTTCAGATTAGGGGACAATTTATCACTTTCAACTTCAACATGACCTAATGTCTCTGCCATGGAATTAGAAACCTTTCTTAGACTACGTTTAACCTTTTCAAGCTCACTTTGTGGATTTTCTGTAATTGAATCAACAGTAGAGCTAGAAATTTTTCTCAAAGTACGCTTTGGCTTCTCATGATCCGCAATGACACTGGTGCCAGAGTCAATATTTGATGTAGTATTCCGTCGAACACCACGTTTTGATCTGCCTGACTCTGTTTCCATTGCATAATTGTTCTTCTTTGCCTGCGGTTTAGATCCAGTAATTTTCCTACCCTGCAGTGTTTGTTTCCAGAACAGCGAGGCTGTCCACCGCTCAAGCCAGCTAAAGACAGAATTAGGTTCACATTGAACGTACTGGGTTCGCAGGGGCATTCCAGTAATTGATGAAGAAACAAGCTGAATATTATGAGATAAGAGTAAGTAGAATGCAATAACGTGGACAAAATAATAGCCTTTAAGAGTACATTATTATTTTAAATGGGAAGAAGCAAAGCTCATCAATTCATCATCCCTCCTTCGTAAAAATTGTTAGAAATGCACCTTAGGCGTTGATTAACAGATAAAAAGAATAGAATATGATTTTTTCCGTAACATGTGTGAACTTACCCTGACGACAAAAGCATTTGTAAATAGTTTTTTCTTTGAGTTCAGTTTCTGAACCACCTGGAAAAAAATTAAGAACCAAAGCTGTAAAAACTATTGCAACAAATAATTTCAAAATGATATTTTTAACGGACATATTTTCATTTCAAAGAAAAATTAGGTGAAAATTAAATATATCAAACATTAGCATCCACCAAGTAATCAACAACAGAAATTGAATCATAAACAACAGAACCAACAGAAACGAAACAAATACAGTATGAAAAAGCTAGAAAGGGAAATAAGTAGGCCAGAGCTGGAAATATTCATTGTTCAGAAGGATTTAGCAAAACAAGCACCAGCCCCAGCTCTGAGTATAACTTGATTACCGAGCAGGAATACAAATAAAGACATGACATGAATAATTAAAGCCTTTAATTACTAATGTGTAGGATAGAAAACTTAACTGAGGATGTAATAAATTAAGAGATTGTTTGAGAAAGCGGGGTGGGGGGCTAGATTCTATATTCTTTTTTCGAAGAGCAATGAAAATTCCTTTCAAATCAGTCCATAATTTATCATTATTTTCTTATTTTCAAAGATTTCATAGTGGGATAAAAGCTTGTTGTTGTTGTTGTTGCTGCTGCTTTTTTCAAAGATTAATTAGAGAAAAAGTTAACAAAATAAATAAAAGCATATTTCAAAAAAGATTATGGTACACCCGTGAATACCTGTGCAGGTACCTGTTTGCAAGTATCTTGTAGGTTACGTTCGAGTTAATCACAAGGAGGATCATCCTACTCCCTCAAAGCTATTCATTCGAGGGACTAGCTTAGGAGCTAGAAAGAAGCTTAAAATGTATGATCATTGGTGCATTTACAAAGTGTATTTGCATGATCAACGATATATGTGCATGCCACTTAATGCTCTCGTACAATGCACTCATATGATTAGAGATACAGATACATGTCACTACGTTTATATGTGTTTGTACGTTTTTGATATGTACGCATTATACAATAGGGGACCCATAGGCGACACCTTTTTTGGTGATTTGATGCGTCATGTGCACTTTAACGAGAGGTCATGCAGCCCATGACACATAACAGTGCACAATTTTGTTTATTTTCAAAAATAAATGTTTATGGGGTGTATGACGCATTTAAGGACATACGAGTCTCCTAAATTTTGTTTCCTGCCTGACAAGAAAAAACAATCATGGGTATTTAAGTATCTATTTATAAAGCATAGTATTTCTCCGCTTACTATGAAAAGCAATCACGGGTACTTAATTTCACGCAAACAAATTTTCTCGTCTGCTAAGAAAAGAGATTAGGTGGTTTGACCAAGTATTTCCCTATTTCGGTTGGGTTACATCAAGGATCAGCTTTAAGCCCATATCTTTTTGCTTTAGTCATAAATGTTATCGCTAGACATTCGCAAGAGGATGTACCTTGGTGTATGCTTTTTGCTGATGATATTCTTCTTGTTGATAAGACTAGAGAGGGAGTTGAAGGTAAACTTTAATTATGGAAGTCAACCTTAGAGTCTAAAGGTTTTCGCTTGAGTAGATCTAAAATGGAATATATGAAGTGTAATTTTAGTAGCAATAGACCTAGTGAGAGGATTGTGACTTTGGACGGTCAAGTCATTAATAAGAGTACATGTTTTAGATATTTTGGATCTATTGTTCTGAGTGATTGTGAAATAGATGGGGATGTTATCAACAGAATTCAAGTTGGATGGTAGAAGTAGAGGAATACATCGGGCTTGTTATGTGATTAAAAAGTACCCCTCAAACTCAAGGGAAAATTCTATAAGATAGTGTTGAGGCCTGCAATGCTTTATGGTACGAATGTTGGCCATTAAAAGAGAAGCATAATACTAAGTTAAGTGTGGCAGAGATGAGGATGCTCTGGTGGATGAGTAGCTTTACCCTTAGAGATAGGATACGAAATGAGCATATACGTGAAAAGGTTGGAGTAGCTCCAGTAGAAGATAAGATTAGAGAGAGTCGTCTTAGATGGTTTGGTCACATAAAATGACGGCCTTCCGATGACCCGGTTAGGAAAGTAGGTATTAGATTTGACTTATGTTAAAAAAGGTAGAGGCAGACCTAAAAGACTTGGTTAGAAAATATTAGAAATGATCTTTCTCTATTAGATTTAAACGAGAATTTGACTTTTAACATGACACAATGGAGAAAAAGGATTCATGTAGCCAATCCCACATAATGGGATAAAGGCTTGATGTTGTTGTTGTTGTTGTGGTTGTGCTAAGAAAAGATATCACTGGTACTTAATTTCATGCAAACAATTTTCTCCACCTACTGAGAAAAGTTGTCACGAGTACTTAATTTAATGCAAACAAATTTTCCCGCATGCTAAAAAAAGCGATCATGTGTATTAAATTTCATGCATACAGATTTACCAGCTTGCTAAGAAAAAGCAGTCAGTGGTACTTAATTTCATGGGTTTTTATTTCTCCATTTGCTAAGAAAAGTTGAGAGTACTTAATATCATGCATAGACAAATTATAAAATAGTTAGTATCGAGGTTATACCTTAGGTGCAAGATGGAAGAGGCGACAATGGCGAGACGACAATACGACGCGACGCATAAAACCTGCGATGCACAATTATATTTTTTTATTATCATTTATTCTACTTAATTATATGCATATATTTATTTAATATTATATATTTTTAAATAGGGGCTAGCATGAGAGAGGATCCAATCCCTCTTTTTAGAGAGAGAAAGAGAGGGAAGGAGTGGATTTGGTTAAGGTTTTTGTGGGAACGGTATAGGAAGGTTGTAGTAGCAAGGGATGTGGTATTAAAAAGTGAAAATCTCTCTCAAATTTTAGAAAGAGAAAGAGCGGGAAATCTATTTCTCTCTAGGAAAGGGGAAAGGAGGGACTGAAAGAGTTGGTGGAGGTGTTGAATAGAGTGTTTGAAAAAGAAAATCATTAATTTTGATGATGAGGCTTTTTTAGGGAAGATATGTAGGTGGTGTAGGGGAAGATCATTTTGTGAAGGGAATGTAAGGATTTGAGGGGTAGATAGGGAGAAATCGAATTTTTTGGTTTAGGGTTTAGAAGACGGGTGATGAGGAGGAAGAAGATAGGGAAGAGGAAGAGGGGAAGAATGAGAGAAGAAAATGGAGGGAAAAAGAAGAAGAAAGAAAACGAAGGGAGGAGGAAGAAAAAAAGAAAATGGAGGGAGGAGGAAAAGAGAGAAGAAGAAGAAGAAGAGCAGGAGGAGAAGGATGGTTACCTTGGTGGTCGGCGATTGGAGGCATGTGAGAGGGGGAAACTGAGTGTGAGGTAGTCGTGTATGAGCTTCGTGCGTGAGAATTGTAAGGGGTGCCAGTTAAGGAGAGTTTTATGAGGGATTTAGTGTTATGTGAGGTTCAACAGAGGTTAAGTGAAGGGAATTTTGATAAATTTTTCTTCTTTTTATTTTAATCTCTTTCCCCCTCTTTAAATTTTTATTTATAATTATATTAAATCAATTTTTTTGATTAATTGTGCTTTGACTTGGTCATCATGTAGTCATCATTCGCGCGCGTCAATGTCACCTTGTTGCCCCTGCAAAATTTAATTTTTTGTCAATCGACGACCCCAATCAATATGGGTGTCGATCTTAAGCTATTTTTGTTGATCCAAAAACGTTGGTGCTACTCGTTTTGCGAACGAAGGCTATTTTGGTGATTTGGATTTTTGGTCAACACGTGACAAGTGAGTTTTGCACAACGTTGTGTTCTTTCACTCTCAAAATTCAATATGCACAGTTGAACCAACCCAGACACTAATATTGAAGTCAACAAATGCTCCAAAACAAATATGATGCGAGCTTGAAGTGGACCATATTTATTGCAAATAATTGCCGTTGTGGATCTACAAGAGTTCTCTTTTCTTTTTCTTTTTTTCTTGGATGTCAATATGGGGTAAAGGCTAAGCATGCAAAATATTTATATATCCCTTTTTATGCACTTTATTTTATTACTTTTAATATCTATCTGTATGGTTTTTTATGACTTTATTTTATCTTTTGGTCAAGAAGATATTCAATTGAAGCAAACCGTAGGGGATGCCGCGAAGTGAGACAAGTCAGAAGGCTATCTGGGCAATGATAAATAAGCTTGACCCTCAAGAGGCAGCTGGTATGGCCAATATGTTAGAGAAACATAAGGAAATGTTAAGAGGTCGCAACATTTAAGGCAAATTCATCATTCGCTCATCCTTTTTGAAAGTTCGTCAAGGTTGTTAAATCATAAGGAACTAGTTCGAGGCTCACCAAGAGGGGGTGAATTGATAAATTTAAAATTTTTTCAACTTCAAAATAACAATGACAATATTTTTGAAAAGTTTTAAGAAATTGAAAATACCAAATTCTAATTGATTGCGGAAGCGAACGAGTATATGAAAAATATTGATTTAACTACGATGATATTTTAATTTATGAAATGAAGCCATAATCACCAATTTTCCCAAGAAATTATAATAAAAATAAAATGTAGGAAAAATAAAAGTGTGAAAAGGAAAAAACACACCATAGATTTTTATAGTTGTTCGGTCAATCTTGACCTACGTCTACTCCCTAGAGTCCTCCACTCTGAGTATTGCACTAACACTAAGTGACTCTCATTTTGCTCCCATAGCAAGGCGGAGAAGCCCTTATAGACTCACTTTCACCAAACCTGATGCGATGAAGTGTCACACGCTATGTTACCTTTCCGGTGATGGCAGCAGACCTTAACTCATTTTTCTCCCTCCTGGAGAAGGCAGAGAACCTCAAATCTTTTCTCTCCTAGAAAATGTAGAGTATCTCGAGGACTTGACTTAGAAGTATCTCTCCCAAGAGAGCTTTCAAAGACTCACCAAGGCCACAGGAGGAGCAAGGGTGTAGCGGGCCCGGAGCAACCGTGTGATCCCCTCACACTCCTCCCTCACGCTCAACCTCACCTTCTCTTCCTCTCAAACCATGGATTTCTCAAAAGCTTCTCTCAAAGTTCTTTTAGTAGTCACACAATCCTCTCACCATTACAAGGAGAATCTCTAAGCTTTGCTTAAGTATTGGT